GTTTTTTTTAATAGCAAAGCTGGAATCTCATCATAGCCAGTAGAATATTTCTTTTTGAGTCAATATAACCTTTTTAATATCATGTTCAGAGACAGGTGCAAAAAAACATTGAGTGTGAATCTTACTTCATCAAATGTGCACATATTTGAAGGGATGTTCCAACCTTTCAGAGCCACTTTTAAATTTGATAAACTCGTACTCAACAAGTATTAGAAATTAAAAATTAAAAAAAAAAACCGACTTCAAAAACGTGCAGATGTCATCACCACATCTTAACCAAATTTATATGGGACCACCACCCTTGAGGTACCCCCGTACTAACACAAAAGAATCATATAAATCGGACAAGGTGGTAAAGCATTATGGCTAAACATACATAAAAATCTGATGTGTCCAACACATGACTTTCCTATCTAGTTATTATAGGCTGTTTCCGGTTATTTTGTACAACCTATTGTAGCACCTCTATAAATGTTTAGAGGATAAACTAAATATATACATTTTCCACATACATCTAACTCTAAACATTTTTCTATCGATATTCTTTGAAAACGAAAATACTAAAAAATTTAAATTTAGCACTTTTTCTCCAATTTTTCCATTACGGTCCATTTTAGAAAAAAAATCATGTAAAAACAAAAATTATAGAGATCGATATCGCAAACAACTTTTAGTTTAACAATTTTCTTAAAAATCAGAATTTTGCACATTTTATCAAATTTCTCGAATACGGACTATTTCAGGAAAATTTGACAAAAAACAAAAATTATAGAGAATAATATTAGAAGTAACTTTTATTTGAACAATTTTCTTCTCCAAACATAAATAACAGATATATTCTATAAAATATAAAAACGGCCGCCCATAAAGTACCCCCCAGATGTTCCGACTTTGTCCAAAATCTAATCATTTCACGTCAGGCCTAAATAAAACTTAAGTTTAACATTAAATGTTTCTTCCTTTATCCGTTTTTGAGTTTTCTTCAAAATTCGAAATTTACGCATTTTCTCAAATATCTCGAATACGGTCCATTTTAGAGAAATTATGTATAAGATAAAAATTATAGAAAATTATATCACAAACAAGTTTTATTTGAACTATTTTTATAAAAAATGATTTTTTTACATTTTTTCAAATTTCTCAAATTCGGACCATTTTAGAAAAATTTTGTATAGAACAAAAGATATTGATAATAATATTGTAAGTAACTTTTATTTAAAGAATTTTCTTCTCCAAACTTAAATAACAGATATATTCCATGAAATATAAAAATGACCACTTATAAAGTACCCCCCCAGATGTTCAGACTCTGTCCAAAATCTAATCAGTTCATTGGACGCCGGAATAAAGCTTAAATTTAAAATTTGGTGTTTTTCTGTGTATCGGTTCATGAGTTATGCGACACACAGACACACACACACACACACACACACACACACACACACACACACACACACACACACACACACACACACACACACACACACACACACACACACACACACACAGACATCATCGCGAAAATAGTCATAAACGGATTCAGGGGACCTCAAAACGTAAAAATCCGTCGAAAACTCGAGGTCGAAAAAAATCATGATTTCTATACTTTCCTTATATCTGTATACAGATAGGAAAGTAAAAAATGAAGACAGAATTTTCTCATGGGCCCAATTATTAGATTTTGACCAAATTTATATGAGACCACCCGTGAAGTACCCCCTTTCTAACAAAAAAAGAATAATTGAAATCGGATACCGTGTTAAAGAATTGTCGCTGAACATACATAAAAAAAAATACGCGTGGCACTCGGGGACTGCCGCGGTAAAGCTATTGCATAGCATTTTTTATCAACTTATGCAATTATAATTAATTTATTTTATTTATGCAGTATTTTTTTCTTTGATATTAATTCAAGGTTTTTCTTTGATATTTCTTTAATATTAAGTTACACTTTTTGAGCGTGGTGACCGATAAGAAAACATTTTTTTTTTCTTTTATTGAATAAATGAGAAGTTATTATTGTTTAAAATATTTTTATTATCTTACAATACATGTAGGTTATTCAGGAATTTTTATCATTGAAACTATAGGTTTATGGTAACTGAAATAAGAAACATAAGTTTGAGACTTGATATCCTCTAAATATCTGGAAAATACCGCGTCTATGGTGGTCCCATATTTTGTTGTGGATTCTTGTGAATCATTATTCATTTTCAAATTCAATTTTTCCGAAATTGTGTCTAAAAGAGATAGAATCAGTTATGAGCAGTTAGCAGCTAGTCTACACGCATACGTCTAGTCGCACGCACACAAACACCGTGCCGAAGTCTGCCGAACTGAAACAATGTTAGACGATGCACGGCTTTCAACGTCGCACCGCTGTGTCGGTCGGAGAGGGGGGTGTTAGGTTTATTTTCGTTACGGAATTTCTTTTTGATTTTTCGAGGGTGTTAGGTTTATTTTCGTTACGGAATTTCTTGATTCGGTCGCCGCGCTCAAAGCCCGCGATAAAATCTATGCAATAGCTTAAAAATGAAATAGTTAACACTGATAAAATAAAAATTAATATTTAATAAATATTGCAAAAAAAATTAATATCTAATATTTACGCCAGCCGGGAACATTTGTGATACCAATTTATTAGAAGCCAGAGAAAGCTCTTCTAGTTCTTGTATTGCATAAACGTTCCCGTCCGCAGACGTATATTTAACTCCGCTTCATACTAATACGAATAGGGTCAGATAAAACCTTCTACGGCTTTCAACGCCGCACCGCTGTGCCGGTCAGAGTGGGGGGTGTTAGGTTTATTTTCGTTACGGAATTTCCTGATTCGGTCACCGCGCTCAAAGCCCGCGATAAAAGCTATGCAATAGCTTAAAAAAATATTGCGACGAATTGAGAACCTCCTCATTTTTTGAAGTCTGTTAAAAATACCAAATGCTTTAAAAATTGTTACAGTAGTCCCTGTTCTTGAAATAAAAAAACGCAAATAAACTAAATAAAGCTACTGATTTAAGACCTACCTATTATTATTTTGTTGTATCGAAAAAAAAAACCTTGAGAAGGTCGTTTATGAACAAATTGACAATTTGATAAAGGTTTAACCGCAGAATCGCGCATTTTTAAAGACATAAAAAACGTATTTGGAGGTTGTGCTATTTAATAATTTATTTATTTAAATTATAATAGTGTATGGCATGATTCATACTAAAAATTATATCTGGAATTTTGTGCTAAATATTGGTTTTTGATGTTTTGATAGAATGTTTTTCTGCGAAACCGCGCATTTTTAAAGACCTAAAAAAAATTTCATGATTTTTTATTTAGTTTATAGCTAGTAGTGTACAAAACAATTAGTATAAAAATTCTATTTGTAATCTCGTTCTAAATGTGTTTTTGTTTGGTCTCTTTATTCTCATAGCAAAACACCTGACTTTTAAAAGACCAAAAAACATATTTTAAATCATTGCTTGGCTATAATTTTTTGTTTAATCAATTACCAAAAACCTAATGAATATTTGGTATAAAAATTTATATTTATAATTGGATTGTAAATGTGTTTGTTTCATCCCCGTCTTTTTGTAAGATTATGTTGTTTTAACTAATAATTTAAATTGAATTAATCCATTTTTTTCTAAACTTTCATGATACTAGAGTCCACCTAAACCAAAGATTTTGCCGAATACCAATATCAATCAAAACATTAAGAGACCGCCGCGTGGTTTGTCTGCTAGCTGCAGCCTCATATTTGAGAACATGGATAAGCTTCTTTTATACATTTTTTTTATGGATTATGGTAGACCTGAGTTTTAGCGAAACAAAAATATTTCTTCAGTGAAACAGGTTCTAATAAAAAAAAATAACAAATCAGCTACAATAAAACCTTATTTTTTGAAAAACTACATCTTATTTTTTGTTTCAGATACCTACTTAAAAATTCTAGAAGTACTTAATGGTAGTTACAGCCATTTCATCTAGAGGCTTCTACAATGATTCATTTTCAAAATGAAATATATATTTTTATTTTCCTATCTGTATACAGATATAAGGAAAGTATAGGAATCATGATTTTTTCGACCTCGAGTTTTCAACGGATTTTTACGTTTTGAGGTCCCCTGAATCCGTTTTGACTATTTTCGCGATGATGTCTGTCTGTGTGTGTGTGTCTGTATCCACCATAACTCATGAACCAATACACAGAAAAACACCAAATTTTAAACTTAAGCTTTAGTCCATCGTCCAATGAACTGATTAGTTTTTGGGCAGAGTCGGAACATCTGGGAGGGTACTTTATAGGTGGTCATTTTTATATTTTATGAAATATATCTGTTATTTACGTTTGGAGAAGCAAATTCTTCAAATAAAAGTTACTTCTAATATTATTAACTATAATTTTTGTTTTATGTCAAAATTTCCTGAAATGGTCCCTATTCTTGAAATTTGACAAAATATGCAAAATTCTGATTTTTATGAAAATTGTTGAACTAAAAGTTGTTTGTGATATCGATCTCTATAATTTTTGTTTATATATGATTTTTCTAAAATGGACCGTAATGGAAAAATTGGAGGAAGAGTGCTGAATTTAAATTTTTCAATATTTTCGTTTTCAATGAATATCTATAGAAAAATGTTTCGAGGTAGATGTATGGGAAAATGTATATATTTAGTTTTTCCTCTAAATATTTATAGAGATGCTGCAATAGGTTGTACAAAATAACCGGAAAAAGCCTATAATAACTAGATAGGAAAGTCATGTATTGGACACATCAGATTTTTAGTAATATTTACTTAATTTAAAAAGAATCAAAATTCACTACAAACAAGGTTTCCTATTTTTAAGTGTATGCTGGTTGCTTTTTAAAATCAATTAAAACATATATTTTTAATTAAAATTGGTTCATAAGTCAGAAAAAAATTATGTTTGTTATATAAATTAAAAAGTATAAAACCCTTTCTCATATATCTATATTTTTTTTGTTTTATATTAAGATAGTACTCACATGTAATTCAATTCCATAACAGTATCCAATTCCTTTAACCAATCCTATATATTTAATTTTTCCAAGTAAAACATCATTTGTGTCTGTAAAACCAACAGTCATATCTAATCCCAGATGTTTCAGCTTCTCACAAAGTAATTTATTTTTGGCCAATTTCACCCTCTCTTGTGGCGAAGCTATTGATGCTATAAACTGACATAATTTTTCACTTATACGTACAATATTATCTTCTGAACATGAATAAGAAACCGTTTCCCATGTATCTACTTCTTTAAGGAACCTTATAGCTAAAGTGTTATCTTTAAACTTGGCATCAATTATTACCACTTGTCCAAGAAGCACAGTTCTTTGCTGCTGTCCTTTAGACAGCTCTTTCAATAAATCGTTGCAAATGAAAATACCAAATTCTTTTTCTCTTGAAGTCATTGTCTTTATTTTCAATCAACTTTTTTATGTAAAAAACAGTAATTTAAAACACCTATAAATTATGAGTCATTTCATTGAAAACATAAATCAAAACGCATTGAATTTAATTTAAATTATATCAAACATAAATTCTACTATTGTTAATTATTAGTCAGCCCATATTCCATTTAAGGTCTTCACTTTTATTTCTGACAAATACGAAATACGTGACAAATACACAAAATTGTAAATAAACAGGTTTGACGTTGACATCGACCTTCTAATAAAACCAGTGCTGCCAACATGAAGATATAAAAAAGTGATATTTTCACGACGTATATTGACAGTTCCTATCTCCCTATCTGAGGATTCTACAAATCTAGCAATAAGCAGTGGAGTACCTCAAGGATCAGTATTAGGTCCAATTTTGTTTTTATTATTCATCAACGACATCACAGACTTAAGAATAAGTGGTAGAATTACTTTATTTGCTGATGACACCAGTGTAACCTGGAATAATTCTAACATGCAGACATTACAACATAGATAAATTATATTAGTTTATCTATGCATTACAATCTATCATAAGTGAAGATCTAGTGACTATTAAGTCCTGGTCTGATTCGAATGGACTTTGTTTCAACACCAGTAAAACTGTAGCATTGTCTTACAGAGGTACTTTACAACCTATAACTTTAAACAATAATCTGATCCAAACGGTGACTTCAATCAAGTTTTTAGGTCTTTATATAGACGATTCTCTAAAATGGTCTGCTTAGCAAAAAAATTATCCTCGGCATGTTTTGCCATTAAATCGGTTTCTAAAGAGCTGACTCCTTCTACTGCATTAATAACCTACTTTTCCTTATTCGAATCTCACCTTCGCTATGGTTTACCTTTCTGGGGTTCTTGTAGCTTATACCTTTTCGAATCTATTTTTAAACTGCAAAAAAGAGCAATCCGCTATGTATTTGGTTTAAGTAGTAGGACACATTGCGGAAATTACTTCAAAAATTTCAAAATTCTAACCCTTCCTGCTCTATTTATTTTCGAATCCGTCTGCTTAGTTCGCAAGCACATTCAAAATTTATCCAAAAGACCGACTCGTAGATATCCTACAAGAAATTTAGAGACTGATGTTTATTTAACAATGCCCACTTCTGACCTATTAAAACATTCCATTACCTACAATGCCAAAAAATTGTATAATAACCCTCCGATGCAATTAAAATCTATAAATACATACGATAAGTTCCGAAGACTGGCTAAAGCTTTTCTTCTAGAAAGACCATATTACACAGTAGCAGAATTTTATAACGTACCTTAGACATTTGAGTTCCACATACAATGGCATTAATTAAATAATTAAATATTAAAGTTTAAATTTAAAAATTAAATTAAATGACGGAAATTGCAATGGATATGTTTTTTTTTCTGCTGTTTAGTTATTTTTATAATATGTTTAGTATTTAAGTTACACGCTTTGTCTATAAAATTTTTGTAAAATTTTTTACGACAATAAAGCATATCTCTCTCTCTCTCCCCTCCTCCATATCTATGATTGTACCTGATTATACTAATAATGACGTAATTCCTATTTTGGTTTTTAAATTTGATGATCACTCATGAGCAATCCTTGAAAAACAGAGTAGTACGTACAAATAAAACACCACTCCAAAACAAAGTAAAACTCGATGAAATGGCAATATTCTAATTAATTACACAACGTACTGCGTTGGAATAATACCGTCATTTGAAAAGATCTACATACGGAGGGCGCCATTTTGGGCCGTTATACGATTAAAAGTTTAAACATGCAAATTTCGAGTTATGCCACTTTATTACTAAGTGTGCGATATATCTCTTTCAGTGGTAAATCATTTTTAAGCGATATACATTTCCTTTTCTTTCATTTTTAAATCAGTCTTAAAATGAAGGATGTGTTTTCGTTTGTACCAAATTTCATCACATTTAGTACATAAATAACTTAAGATTTAAATCAAAAGTTGTTTTAACCTACAAACTTATTTACCCATTTTCTCCAATTAATAAATGTGTGGCTTAGCTCTTTTCACCACCAATACGACGTTATTTTCTAGTTGGTTTGTGACGGGCTTCTGGTTCACCTACAGTGAATCAGCGAGTCTGTGTGACGCTATGAAGGTGATTCCCGAATAGGGGTTGCTCAGGCGCCAATTTTGGTATCGCAGTTTGCTCTGCGACCCTGTGGTACACCAGAGTGTACTCAAGGTGAACTCAATGGAGGTAAAAAAAATAATTCCAGGCGGTCACTGCTAGGTAGCCACTATACTAGAATAAATAAAAATAAAACACTTATCTCCTTTACACCTCGTACTCTGAAAGAGAACGGTTAAGAACCAGTAATAAGAGAAACACAGGAATTGGTAATAAAATATATATTTACAAAAAAAAATAATACAACGGTAATTAAATATGAACGGCTCCCTATATGCGGAAAACTTATTAAAAATAAATTGTTACCAATGAAAACTAATTAAATATTAACGGCTCCCTATATGCGGAAAATTAATTAAAAATAAATTATTACCAATGAAAACTAATTAAATATTAACGGCTCGCTATATGCGGAAAATTTATTAAAAATAAATTATTACCAAAGAAAACTAATTAAATATTAACGACTCCCTATATGCGGAAAATTTATTAAAAATAAATTATTACCAATGAAAACTAATTAAATATTAACGGTTTAAAGTCTTTCTCATGTAGACATCTGGTAGTCCATAGCTTCTACAAGAGAGAAACCCTTTCCACGAGCTGTTATAAAGACTAAGGGCTGAAACAGCTCTGATTATCGACGGGGGGAAGCAAGCGAATACCGCTACCACCCCCTGATTAACGCGAAAATTGATGAAGGGTGTGAATGCCCCCGGATTTAAATCCAATTTACTTTATTACCTTGTCAGGTACTAAGGAAATTAAAAGTTGCTATTACCTTTTACTAGTACGGGAAAATATTTACGGTTCGCTAGCACAGGAGGCCAAGCGGTCCGGGAATTATGAAACTCCCTATATACGGAAAACTTATTAAAAATAAATTAATATACTCGAAAACAATTTAAATATGACGGTAATCAAATGCAAGCAAATAAATGAAATCAAAAGTTTTCGGAACGTCCCTGTATCTTAGACCAGACGGATCGACGTTCTGGCAATTATTGAATGAGAATGATAATTTTCAGCGCGGTGTTTGGGACAAAAATGCGATGGTTAACGTAAAAATTATTTTGAGTATTGACCAGAGTCGAACGAGAGCGTGTGTGAATTTAATTTTACAGAAAAGTTGGGCTTCGTTCAATAATTAGTTGTGGACGGGGAACGGAACGATTCAAATACAATTGAATGAATAAATAAAAGAAAAGAGAAACTTACATGAAAAATACTGGGTGCTTCTTATAAAAAAAATTGCTAACGGGTTCCGACTTAGGGATGAAATGAAGAAAATGCTGGGCATGAATCAAAATTATTTCACTTGTCGGACGGGTGTCTCAAACTAATTGTAAACAAAAAATAATAAGCGGTTTCCTACCTTCAGAAAAATAAACGGGGTTATTCAACGATCTTTTTCGAAATCACGGCACTCACCGAGTATTTACTAGGCACTATGGAAGGGCGAATAGTTTTCGGATGTCGGCAATCAAGAGAGGGTAATTCCCAGATGTCATCGAATTTATGCTTTTTCGCTGTGACAAGATGGAATACCGGTAAGCCCGAGTGGGGGATACCACCACTACAGCCGACAATTTAGAAATTCAGGCGGGAATTAATTGAAATATACATTTTTAAATTAATTGAGAGCAAAATTTAGTGACTTCGTCACAGGTTGTAAAATTGAGTTGTAAAACTGGGTTGCAAAACAACTTTTTTGTAGACATTTTTTTCATTGACATTTTTTTCTATATTATGTTGGTTGTAAAACTAGGTTGAAAAATTGGATTTTAGGTTGTAACACTAGGTTTTGGTTTAATTCTAATCCTTGGTTTTTAATTAGTACATTAACTGCTTTGATGGTTGAGTGGTTAAAACACTATAGGCTTTCAAGACATAGATTACAGGTTCGAATCTCGTCAGCGTGCACAATTTTTTTTTAATTTTCCTTTGGACGTTTGGGAATTTATTCCAGCATTTCTCAGTCGTTTAACCAACAAAAATTAATTGTCTTTTCCTTACATTTGTCTTTACAGAGCTTATCAATACAAATTGAAAACTTAACAGTTGTGACGCTCTTCCGACGATGCTGTTGCAACGTTTGAAAAAAAATAACATGGATTATATTGGTTGGATTTGAAACTTTTGGTTCTGAGCAATTTCTTGATCGCAGGACAGTGTCTTGATGGTCGAGAGGTTAAAACATTGGCTCGGCAAGACATAGATCAAGCAAATCTTGCTGAGATGTGCGATTTTGTTAAATATTTTCTTTGGTTTGTTTTCACATTCTGTTGTTTATGAATTTATTTTTATACCAAGTGTATCTCAAATAAAAGAAAACCTATAAAAAAAAATTAGCTCCCAAAAATTGATTTGCAACTATTAATTTTATTGTTACTGTTCCCAAGTAAAATGTTAAGAAATACCTACTTGGTCCCTTGAAACAATGCAATGGTGTGAAGGATTAATTTTTTGTCTAAATTAAAAATGCAAATAATTTTAATAAATAATATAATTAGAAAAACTTACAAAACTAAACAAGTGAACTCCTTAAAAACTTAAATATTACTGCATGTATTTAAATTACTGTACTAATGTGACTTTAAAATGATCGTTATCTAACGTAGAATACACATGACCCTCGTTACTTAGGAATGATAATGCTTCACTGAAAAATAAAATATTTAAAATTAATACAATTACAAAACTTATGCGCGATTCACAAAAAAATGTTTATAAAGTATGCTGTAAGTCACAGACAAATATGTAACACACCTTTGAATAAAATCCAACTGTCAATTAAAAAAGAATAAGAATAATTATTGTAAGCTTCGACATGTGTGTTTTTTTCCTGACCTACTTTTTTTTTGGCTAATTTTGTATTAACATTCTTTTACTCCCTGTAATAATATATTCTTAGTATCTACAGAGGATGAAGTCTGCTTCAATGAATAGAATAACTGATTTTTTAAAATTTAGTATTAACATTTTCTGATATTGGTTAAAATTAATCCTTATTCACATTATTTCATAATACATTTATTTTTTACTGGGTTCTTAAACTGGCGTGCCTCATATCGCCATTTAAATCCTTATTATGTTATCCTAAAATAGTAACCTATTATATTGTACAACAGAAAAAAAAATAGGACCATTTTGATATGTATTTAATTTTATATTGATGGAAACTTGAACATCTAGTGCTGTCATTGGTCATGCTTTATTCAACAGTAAAGCCATCCGATTTAAATTGGAAATACTTGGTTTTAGAGGCAACTTTTAAACTTGATTGTCATCTTATAATATAAATAGCAGGCAGATCTATGCCAAAGTAGGTATATGTAAATCTGAACTAGAAAGTGTTGATCTAAGTGTACCTTAGGGATCAATTTTAGAACCTCTAATTTTTCCATGTATTAAAAAGATAACATTACAAAGTAATGGATTAAATCAACTGGTTATATTATTACACAGATGGATTTTACGAGACTGACATTATATGCATATGTATAAGTGTAACTATTTAATATTTTACTAATTAATTATTTGTATTTTGTAAGTGGTTATATTTCAATGCTAAAATATGTTTATTATGTACCTAAAGCAAATAAAACATCATTATTAGGAAAACCATGATTAATACTTACTTTACATCCTGATGTTGATTAGGAGGAAAATGACTCATTAAAATCTCCTTGCTCATACCATTTGCAGAAGGGTCTGTTGCAAGAATGTTAAAAACTTTTTTTTGGACTGGTGTAAAACCTGAAGTTGGTCCTAAATTATTTACATCCGTATCAATGAAGCTCATCGAATTTGCCAAATGTGCTCCTGGATTATTAACTTTTATAGTTTCTAGCTACAGAAAAAATAAACAACTATAAACTGAGTACAGAATACATACTTTTATACACATTTTATTTCTACATACTTACCAACTTTTTAGAATCGACTTCAACAGAAAGCCTGTTAAAAGCAACTCGCAAAAGATGATGATGAATAATGTTACAATCACTGACTGGGAACATTCTCAAAATCATAAGCTGTCTGCTGTCACCATCTTGCCTCCTAAGAGAACCAAAAACCTCAACATAACTGCCTTCTTTGACACTAGGCAAGTTTGTAACAACACCACCATCATTTTCCAACCATAAGACAGCTGTAATCTCTCCAGTATGGTCCTGAATTGTATAATTAGCTTTAGTGTTTTGGACTTCAAAGTTCCTAAGCTTACCAACCAATTTGATCTTAAAAAATTTAAAATGATAAATTAAATAGCATAGAATATTGTCCCATGTTAAAATATAAAGAAATTAATACAAAAATAATAAATGAATAGTAAATAAAAAAGCTTACAATTTGAGCAGTAACTCCGAATAACTTGAAGTCCTCTCCTTCACAACTATGGATCTGTCTTATAACCAGAGGCACAATATTTTGAACTCTGCGAACTGCCTATAATAAATGTAATTTTAGTTTAAAACAATTATTTCTAACATAACATTCAGTTAAATTGATAAGAGGTATATCAAGAAATAAAGTCCCAGGGCAGTCATCCCCACTTTGCCTACAAGTATGCCTCCACCCATGCTATGAATATAATCAATTGTGGGCATACTTGTCACATTATTTATTGATAGATCTCTACTTTCTTATGTCATAACTATGAAGACTAGAGATAAGAAGGTGAATCTCATTAGTTAAAATACACTGTATTGGCTTTGGACATAATTTACATGAGAAAATTGACTATTCTAATAACCCGTATTACAATCATATATAGCACTATTAAACTAAAACAGCCTCTGTAAAATGTCAATCCATGCAGTTAGGGGTATTAACATTAGACCATCGATTTGTTTCATATAGTGTATTGAATTTGTGTAAATGATAATTCAATGCTGGGTCGAGATATACCTATGTAAGATATGTAGGATTGATGTGAGACTCAGGGAATAAAATTATATACATATCCATAGTTTTATTTAAATTTTACATATAGGTAACATTTTATCTTTAATAGTAAACAGCAGAAAACTTCAGTGGATCGTCTTTTTAGGTCCTATGATAATGTTCCGCTCGGATTTGCTGTCATTATACCTACATAGTCAGTCCTTCAAAAAAAGTACGCTGATATGAGGGTTAATATTGTGGCTCATTTTCTTAATGTACCACAGATGAAACGGTGGACGATTTTAATGAAAAATTAAACTGTTTTTGTGTATCAAAAATGTAATTGCTTCAAAATAAACTTACCCCTTTATTATCAGTGGTATCCAATTGATTTGTAGTGGTGTTCAAAAAACCGCCAGAAGTTGAATCATCTCTTTCAGTGGTATCTTTCCACATTTTAAATTGAATTGAATATTAAATACGCACACAGCAACAAACAAATTGACAAATTTGATTACTTTTTATTATTTTAAGATTTTAGCACCGGGAAGCGGGAAACAAAATCGGACAAGAGCACGACAAGAGACAGGAGTGACAGAAGATTTACGATTCCTCTTTTTTGAGCGACACTATAGACCTTGAACATATATATTCTAAGGCCCGTATTTATAAACAGAACTTAACTGTATAGTTATTTCGTTGCATGTCCAGGGTTTTTTCTTATGAAATAAAACATAATTATTGCTATAAACATTAGAATCTATTTACTTCTAAACTTTATTTGCCGTAGATATTTCATTTAAAATACGCAAACTTTAATAAAACGGTGACTAATACCAGAAGAGTCGAAGACAAAGAGTGTGTCCTTTTTTCTAAGAACATTCAGTAACTTTTAATTGTAAATCTATTTTTGAAGGTCTGCTGAAGAACATTTTTAAATGCCCCAAATACTCATACTCAATAGAAAATACGTTTCACGACAAGAATGATTTAAAATTAAAATAGAAATCCTTTTAAATAAAGGAAACACATTTTTGTCGAGTTAACTGTCCTGTGAATATGGGTCTTCAAGGAAAGAACAAGTAAGTACCTATTTTTAACTAAGTACTAAACTAAAATTAAATTACTAATTTCTAGAATGATGCGACAAAACAGCACAGAAGATGTTAATCTTGACCAATTTCTAAAAGTTTCTAATTATGAAGATACTGTTAGACAATTAGATATATATTATGGAATGGGTTTGTTCGAAAGATAATTTTTGCAAGCAGTTGAATAAACCATGTATTTTTTCAGTGAAAAGGCAACTGCTTAGATACCAAAGCCCAATAACAGGTCTTTTTCCAGTTTTTTCATCCGACACTGAAGTAGGAAGTGTCAGAGAAAGTGTTTACTGTGCAGCAGCTGTATGGGGCCTGTATCAGGCGTATAGGTGGTTTTTATAAATTTCTAAATCATTATTTATGGTAGTATTTGTATTTTGAAGAGAATATAATATTTTAACACTCCTTCAAGCTTATTGACAAAAATGTAATACCTAAAGTGTAAAGTGATACTATACTGCTGAATTAACCTATTTTTTTATTTTACATATCTGTATTTTTCAGGCGAATAGATGATGATAGAGGAAAATCTTATGAATTAGGGCAGTCTACTGTAAAATGCATGCGTGGAATATTAGAATGTTGGATAAAACAAGCAAGAAAAATTGAATTGTTCAAAAAACATCAGTGCAGTGCACATGCTCTACATGTTAAATTTCATTTGACTACAGGAAATGAAGTTTTTGGAGATGATGAATACAACCATTTGCAGATTGATGTTATTTCTCTTTATTTGTTATTTTTAGTCCAAATGATTACTTCAGGATTGCAAATTATTTATACACAGGTAATTAATGTAATATACATATGTGCACTTACAGTATATACCTACAATTAATATTTACTGTGGAATCGTTATTACATTTTAGACTGAATCATAATTGATGACAATTAAGTTGCTGAAGGGCCAATGTAACTAAATATGCCTTTGAGATACTTGAGTAAAGTTTATTTGGATTTTTTTTTAAGCACGTCGATCTAAGAGCTGAATTAATAATTTAGAGTGGTTTATGCTTAGACAGTACTCATCATTATCAGATACGCGAAAACAAGTGACAAACTTAAAAATCTACTCACATTTATCATGGTTTTCAGTATCTTAGGATTCTAGAGTACATTGTATAAGTTTATTTGGCCTGCATCCAGTGGCGTAGCCAAACATTTTTCATGGCAAGGGTTTCCATCAACAAACTGAAATATTTCAGATAAGATTGTTTTTATTAAAAAAAGTAAAAACAAATGATTAATAGCGATCAGCGCCAATATGATGACGGAAAAGGTGACGTGAAGGCCGTCCATAGGGGGGGGGGTTGAACCCCTTCCCCCTGTGGCTACGTCACTGCCTACATCTATTGTTTTAATTGTTAGACAAAGTTTAGAAACTTTTTGGCATCTATTTTATTGATTTGGCAAGGCGATTGAAATACCTTATCTGGTGTCCAGTGTAAGTTTTACAAAAACCTTGTAGTTGTAATAATAATAATAATATTTATTCGGCTTTGAGACATACATATTTAAATATTTTAAAAAGGTTAAAACATGTATAAACATATAAGACCTATTAGCCCTGTGAATACATGCAATTTTAAAAAGTAGAGACATGCTACAATTAAGTTTAAAATAAAGTACAAATTAAAAATATGTACAATAGGGCAAAAACATTAGACAATAATTATAATAATAAATTCTGCATAGGATTAATATGTTTTGGACGAAAGATATGCATAAAGCTTATTTTTGAATACATTAAAGATTTTTTCATTACCATTGACTTGAGTATATCTATTAAAACATGCAACACCTCTGTAGATTTCGGAATTCTGTCCAACTGGGAGTCTAGAGAAAGACTGCTGCAGATATTTGTGATTGCCTGTGTTATAATTGTGTGAGTGTCTATAATCTGATAGTTGGGATTCCTGGTTTTTCATATTAAGTATATATACAAAGATGGAAGTGTTAGGATTTTAAAGTCATGAAAAAGTTGTTTGCAGCTAGTTATTCTTGAAGCCCCAGCCATGCATCTTATAACTATTTATTTTATTGTACACAGAAGGCTCGCTCCAGATGAGCTGAGCAGCCCTAAAAAATTAGACCGTATGAGATAATTGATTCAACCAAGCCAAAATATTTTAATTTTAAAACATCGGGATTTACAGTGTTTTTTAACTGCTTCATTAGAAAACATACACTACTTAGTTTATTTGATACATTGTTACGGGTCAGAAATTATTCTTACAGATAATTAACTGAAATAATTATAGGGGTTTACTGAATATTAAATAAATAAAAACTCACCTAAATTTGTAAATAATAATCAACAAGATTTATAGTTCTTTTTCCATTTATTAAAATTAACCTATACATATGTATATTGTTTATTTACATGCTAATGTCAAATCTTGACCATGACCTTGTAATAGTTCTTCTCTTCTTTATTAAGGTGTAACTTAATTAATTAGGTCAATAATTAACCTATTTATTGGCAGTTTAGTCATCTTAATCAGATACATCTATTTTATTGGTATCTGAGGTTTTATCTCTCTCTGGGTTCTCTGTCTTTTTCTTTTGGAGGTTGGTTTCTGGGCCATGTGGTCTAATTTAATTTAAAACGAATATTTCGGATTTTCTACCACCCCTGAAAAAGAATTACATCAAAATCATTTAAATAAGTATTGCTTTTAAAAATCAGGACGATTTTTTATTACACACAAAGTGGATTGGCGATACTTAATAAAAAAAAGGCCCTACCTTATTCGGCCTAATACGTATAATACGTGTAATACATATAATTCTTATAGTAATTACAGTACTTCCAGTAATTATAGTACTTATATAAGCATATTATTATTGCTATCCCTTCCATTGATATCACCCGCATGGCAAGGTTCTTCTAGGCTTAATACAACTGCTTAGTAGCTGCTTTCTGGCATTTATTTGGAATATCGCAGTGCTGCCTGTGGCCCATCGATAGATCCAGGAGGCTTCGAGAAAGCAAGTAAGATCTTTCCATTTCACTATCTAACTGCTTTAACAAAAACCCGCTGCTTTTCACAAGACCACACACACCTTAAAAGGAAAACAAATATTGAGTTATTATATATCATAAATATTTATTCTAGTGACTATCTAACAATTTACATAAAGATTACAATAAAAGGATATTTGTACTCACCTTCTCCCTGTAAACAAGTAGTACTACTTGGGCTTGAGGGGTATCATTCTGGCTAAGATCCATGTAGTAAATATATACTTTTCACCAAATATTAATTGATATTCTTAGTGATACACCAGATTGTATAAAAGACACGTTGTATATAATATTTCCTGTAAAGTAAGACATAACAGTCATTTGGGTAAGAACGTTAGTAAAAACTTTTGTAAATAGAGTTACCTGATTTAATTTTCCACGTCCCAACTCTCCGGATGAAATATATAACCTGAGCTAGCTTATATAAAATTTCACCCCCTATCAGACGAGGGAGTAACATAATAAATTGGCGCTCAACGTGTAATAAATTTGCTTCAACCGTGGTATATTTATTTTTAAAGGGTGTGTGGTTATTTTCGGCATTTTCTTTGCAATTATTAAACATTTTCATATTTTTTTTGGTCGACTTCTGTCAAATTCTGTCAATTTAGAATTTTTCGTATACACTGTCGAAAGTCAAATTACGAATTCTTCTTTTTGTGTCTTGGCCTTTTACTTTGAATAGACATAGATAAACAGTGCTCGCAGGATTGGACAGTTGCATGTTATTTAATATTAATATTAAGGAGTAAACATATACTAGGTGATTTTTAAGTGGATAGGTATACAAAATACTTAGAATTAGAAAGAAAAAGATTAAATATACTTATAGTATGTTAGTAATTATTATTGGTAAGCTATTGTAGAATATTAAACTAGTGTTTTCATTGGGAGTTGTATATATTAAATTTGATACCATGTTAAACTGGTATTGTACATATTGTATATATTATAAATATAGTATAGACAGCTGTAAATAGTCAGTTGGTATATGATAGTGGTTCATTTAGTCTATCCAAGAAATAAATATAGTTGGATTGCGTTGTCGAACATTTCTTGTCGATTATTGGGTATTTTTGTAGTATATTTGGACATACTTGCAGTTTTTTTTTTTATTTTTTTTAGAAAATATTTAGGGAGGCGATAATTTGCTTAAAATATTTTCTTTTCATTTCGTTTGTTTACTTAGTAAAGACTCGGATCTTCGAATTAGGAGTATATATAAGTAGATAATAGTTTTTTTTTGTTATTTATAAGGATATTTAGTAAGGATACAGACTGATATTTCGTTATCAAGTATTCTTTTAGTTTAGGTGTTTGTCTGCCAGTGGGATTTTGGTATTGTAACATTTAGTAAGGACTTAAATAAAAATTAATATTTTTGTTTATTGTTTTGTTTATTCCATTTAAAAAAAAAAAATGGATGTACATCGATTATTAGGTGATGAACTAACCTACGAGTTACAGATAAGAGGTTTTCCTATAGGTGGTATAGTCAAACAGAAGAGGGATACTCTAAGAGGGATTCTTACTGAAGAACGCTTAGGGAATTCTTACCCTCCTGTAGAAGTAAATATTGATCCTGGATATGAATTTTCGGTTTGTGAAGGTAAACTTGCAGATATGGATGACAGTGTTAACAATTTTGATGTTAATAATGCTAAAACGGAATTTAGGCGAATTTCTAGTCGCTTGTTGCATTTAAAATCACGTTTGAATAGGGTTCGTTGCTGTAATAGTGATCTTCAAGCAGTGCAGGACAGTATGTTAAGTTGGTGTGAAACGCTTAAGGTAAAATTAAACGAAGTATATCAAAGGTCTCAAAATATGGAGGAAAATGTATCAGCAATAAACTGGACGTTATTGGATACACCCAATACGCTTCTACCTGATAGGATTCAATCTAGTCATTCTGAAAATGGGAGAAATGGTATAGATGTTGAACAAGTACTAGTAGATGTTGACGGAAATATTGATCACTCAACGAATGGGAATGGTGAACCAAACTCAACTATGCTCGAGCGAAACGAATTGCAAACTCACCCAATTAGTTCTAATAGAGTATCAAGTTTGCGTGAGAGGTTTGAAAGAATATCTGTGGCTCAAGATCCAATCCGTGACCAAGCATCTACGAGTAGATCTCTGCCAGTGAGATCAGATGTGCAAGCTCCTGATGATTTATTCCAGCACTATTCGGTTAGGGCTAATTCAACTTTGAACTCCCCACCAGATTCTAGAATCCAACAATTTAGCTCTTCTGGGCCAAATCATATAAATTTTCAGTTGCCAAATTTTGTTTCTGCTTCAACATTACCTGTACAGATGCGAAATGTGCCTTTATCTAACCCTAATCATCCGCTACCACAAACTAGTACGTTCATTACTCCAACTCCATTTCAAGACAATAATTCCTATTACTATGAGGTAAGTAGATGGAAGGTTCAGTATGATGGCCTGTCCAGTGTTACAAATTTTTTGGAAAGGGTGGAGGAACTGAGGTTATCTCGAGGGGTATCGAAAGATAGGCTTTTGAGGTCTGCAGCCGAACTTTTTACAAAAGATGCTTTATTATGGTTTAGAATGAGCAATTTTTCCTCATGGGACGAACTTGTTAATAAATTAAGGGCCGCATTCCAACCACACGACTATGAGTATTCTCTCTGGGAGGAGATACGCCGACGCACACAAGGTTTACACGAACGCGTAATTAATTATGTATCCGTCATGGAAAGTTTATTTAAAAAGCTTTCTAGCCTTCC